AATGTTTAACTTAACTTGTACACATGAAATCCAAATTTTATAATAAAAAATTTTTAAGTTTGGTAAGTTACACTGTTCAAACAAACTTGAATTAACATCATGTAAATTTTTTTTAAGCCTGAAGACACTGACTTTTCCACTCTGTCTCGTTGCCTTTGTTCCCACACAATAAAGAACCTGGAGAAGGTAAGCATTGTTTCAAAATGTTAGTATGGTAATTTCTTTAAGTACATATTTACAAACTGTCCAGGGCTGGTAATTAGTGGTGTACTGATCAAACAAATAATTAGTTCATGGGTATTTTGTGGGCTGCCAGTCAATTACCGATAACCAAAACACATAATCAATTAAAGCGTTCACTATTTCTTCTTAAAAATATGTTAACAGAATCAATGACTATTGGTTTCAATTGTCATATTGAAACTGAGAACTGATTACCTTTGTTTTCATGTGCTCTAACAGTTGTTTTTATCTTATATCTATAATTGATCAAAAGGTGGCCTCAACAATTGATTATGCTATTGGATGTCAATTCCCTTCCCTATATAACTACACTATTGACATATTTAGCATTAGAAAAATTAGAAAGCACCAATTTCTTGAACATAATGATAATTCTTTTATGATTTCAAATATTTGTTTTCAGATAAGAGAAATTTGCTTGGACTGATTTTAGGAGTGTCATTTCATGAAGATGACAGCGTGAAACTTGAGGTTGAAGGTAAGCATAATATGTGTGTTAAAAAATAATCAATATTTTTTGTTTTCAATTTTCTAATATAATGTGACAGAATTTCGGAAGTACTGATGCCTCAGTGGTGATTAAATCTGCATAAGCCTTCACAGCCAGACTACTGACATTTGAAAATAAATAAGTAATGTTACCCTTGAATAGATTTATAATATCAAAGTGTTTAAAACAGAATTCTCTTTTGATATAAACTCATCTGTTTTTCAGTTGAGAGAAGATCTGGGTATTGCAGACACCAAGACAATATGCCTGTTTCCAGCAACTCTAGTGATACACGGTTGAATGCTTCAGTTTTTTGACAGTGATTCAGAAACTGATTCAGAGATTGATGACCATGTGGATGAAAAGTGAAAGTGGATGTTTTATATATCCTTGCAGTGAATGAGTTGTGAATAATAACTTTTTGAAGATTTTTGAATACTGACTTTTAACACTTACTTGGTGTCAAAATCAAGCTGTGCCAAGAATGTAATTTCACCTGAAATAGGCCCCTTTGAGGTTGAGACCTGTGACTTTTAGTGGGACATGATTGGTTATCATAAGTACATGTTGTAAAATTGACCTACAGTTTATATGTGCAAAGAAAATTGTGAATAATGAGGTTTTTTTGTAATCAATTGGCAAGTAATTGAATTACTGTCCACAATGTATTGCAACCCTAATTGGGCCCCTTGAAGTTAAAACCTTGTGATTAATGTTGACATGTTTCTTCATCATGAATACCTGTTGTAAAACTGATAATATTTGTATGTAAATAAACTGATAGTTATATATAAGTCATTATGGCACACTGATATTTCAGACTTCTTGTTATTGTTCATAGGAACTGATAAAACCCATTTTGGGCCCCCCTGCATTGAAATTATGGCTTCAGATCATTTAGAAAATAGCTTTTTTATGCAAAGCTATCTTGTCTCCAAACAAATAATGTGTTCATATGTGTCCCATATGTGGCTTCAGTAATCAAACAAAGGTGACATGAATGATTTATACATGATTTTAAGAGTATAATATATCTTAAAAACTTCTCAAGCTGTTTGTCATCGGTGAAACCCTATCTACAATGCTATTTTTTGTGTGGGGAATACAGAATATCCAATTACATCTTTATATTAAAGCTGCAAGGTTAAAGACAAAATATACTGCATTTTATGACTATTACATGGGTTATATTTATTGTTCATGTTTATGAGTAGTACTAGTATACTGGTGGAGTGATTTCATTTTAGTTACTGTCAAGGCACAATTCAACATGTTCAGGCGTCCTAAAATATTGAGGATAGGTTGCGTTGCTCTCACATTATTTTCTCTTTGCAAACATAATCCGCCCGACCTAATTTCAGAAGCAAATATGCACATTGTCCATATGTTATGACCAATTAATTTACATTTTAGTAGGTATCCAACCTTCGCATCGATTCCAAGAGGCTTGTGCTCATAGAAATTCGATATTATGGTGGCTGAAACAGCCTAGATTATGTACTGCCAACAGTGATACCCCAGACACGTCTATGTACTGAGATAATTGCATATACTATGTGGCAGCAGCGTTGCTGTTTTAAAAAATTCGATATGAGTGTGTGATTTCTGATGGTTGAACAAACATCATCACAATCATGATGGAAAGGACTTTATGATCAATGTATATAATTCCTTGTTTAGAAGGACATTAGTATGTCATAGTGCATATGGTCCGTGTTTTGTTTGCTTAGAATGTTTTTTATCGTTCTTCGTTGTCGTGTTGTTGGTGCGACTCGGGAAGATTAGCCTTAAAATCCATGCTTGTCGAAAGAGACGACTAAACAGGTTGGGTGATAAGGCTTGTTCACTTGGTTAACACATGTCCTGCAATTACAATTGCGCAAATCAATAATGTTGACACTGTATTGTCTGGTCCAGATTCGATAATTCTCAGACCGCCGCCATACAACTTGGATATTGCTCACTGTGACGTTAAACATCAAATGTGAAACAAGTAATTCTTCATCAGTAACATTTGCCTTGATTTAGGTCAAACTAACATATGGAAGTTCTTTTTATAAAATATTGGATGTTTTGATACGATTCTTTTATGTACAGGACGATCCTTTCGTGGAAATAGTTTAGTTATTTCAGTTATTTCCAGAGGCCCATTTTACAATGCATAGTTTGATAATTAAAGATGTTGCAACACCAGTACATGTAACAATGCGTACAATGCTACAATAAGTTATATCTGAAACCACATACATGTGAATATAGAAGTAATGACTTTTGTAATGAACAATAGTACTAGGGACAAAAAACGACAACAACTGTTTCTTATTCGCCATTCGTGGAGAACACAGTGATAGTGTGTATTTAAAATAAGTATTTGACAAATGGCTCTGCTCTGTACATAACATCAAAATTCCATTGGACATATATGACCAATTATGAAATATGTGACCTCTTGTCAATTTGTCCATCCCTCAACCATGAATTTATTATGCAGCATCAACTATTCGTGTGAGACTCGATTTCGATTTCCTTGTTAAGTAAGCATTGTCATCCTTGCAATCTAGTGCTAGGATACCTTGGAATTATTTCCTTCTTTGGTGGACTGAGAAAATATTTTATTACACACCCTGAGCAAACAACTGTAATTCATTTCCACTGCCACTGTATTGTTTAAATGGATGTCTAACAAACCCTTTGACGAACTTGGACTTTGTCAAATTTGATTTTCACAAACTTTCAGGCATTGAATTACATTCATATTAACATGGAGAAAATGAACAAAGGTATATACATTTTTTATCACGTTATATGCGATTTGAAATTTTGTATGTGTTTGTTTGTGTAAGTGTAAAGAAATCCTTGAAATAATGACACAACACGAATTTAACGATAGAAGTAAGACGCGTTAGAGCGAAATTCATGCTGTGTAATTTTTGTGTTGGTCTTGTTGAACTTTCCCTCTTTTTATATATATAAAGATATATTTATATATATATATATATTTCAGTCACATTCAGCCCCTTGTTGCTTTTCATACGTGTGGGGGTATTATAGTGTGGGAATTTTTCGTTTGAGTGTTTTGCTGGACAACCTCGTAGGTCTGCCTTTTTAATGCTTTCATGTATTTTTTCAGAAGAATACATGGTACAATTTCATAATTAGTTCATAATTTGAAACACCCAATCTATTATTTAACGCTTCGACATGACATAACGTGTAGAAGGGGTGACGAGACGATTTCCTTATCGAAGTGCTATGCTTAACCCCAGTGAAATCGATTAATGAGAACACAATATCGATGAATATCTAACACATTATGTTAAGTTTTTCTGTCATGGTCAAAGTGTATATCGTGTTTTGTATTTATGGCCTCTGAAATATACACACAGGGAGGTTGATTAACTGAAATAGTGACATATATCGTCATGTTTTACATGAAAATTCTGTCTTTATATGAAAACATCAATTTTGAAGAAAGAAAAAAATCGGGGATTTTTCGGAACACACACAATGTTGCACACTCTACCAATTTGCATGCATTTTGCCATAGGGGCAGGGCCAACTTTATACCAACCCTATAATTTTGGATTACATTGCACCTAGAAATGTTTAGTAGGCTCTCCTGGATCAAACTCGATCGATAATTTTTTTATACATACTGTGAATAAAAAGTTAAGCGCCACCCAGTATATTTTGCCAATATAGTTTGTCTCATAGGAAATCTTACAGGAAAAAACAACTATCATAATTTGGTTTAGTACTTTTAGTTTAAAAACAAAACCATTATGGAAACAGGATGTTTGCGCCTTTGGAAAACAGGCTTTTTGTTTTCCTCAAAAAGGTTACCTTCTTTTGAAAAGTGAAAATCAGAAATGACTGTTATATGGTCACATGATTGTCATTTTTGAAAAGTGAAACCTACGTTTAATAGTGTTGTATGAGCAGAAAAGGAATAGTTATTTTGCTTTAAAAGCAGTGCCATCATATCTTTAACAATATTTCCTTTAATTGTAAATGCAAATGTTTATGATATCCCTAAATCAGTTACCAGATGAACCTTCTCTAAATATTGATTGGTCTTCCCAATTATTTTAGCCTAACATCTCCACAGCTTCACATCTTAGTTTTGAAATAGGCTGGCGCTTAACTTTTTATTCTCGGTATAGTAGTCCTATCCATCAGGTACGTGTTTCATATAATAGTTTTTCATAGTCTGAAAAGTTGGACTTTGTTCAGTATATAATGTTAAAGATTAACAACTTCTTCCTAGTGTCTACACAGATGAAAGGCGCTGTGGAGCACCTTAATGAGAACAAGGATCCTTTAAAGATTACAGAGTGGTGGCAGGCTTCTTCCCTCTTAAAGTGGTAGGTAAAGTTTGAAATCTGAGTGGCACTGTCCTATTCAATTGGTAGCCCTCAAATCATCTGCAGTTCAGTGAAATATATTTGCGGGATATTTCGTTGTCCTCTAACGTAATTATAAGAATATAATGATAACATAATGGAGGACAGACATTGTTCGATTATCACTGTATTTATTTAAAATATAAACAAAATATATTTCACTCATTGCAGTGCATGTTGTACATTCTGTCTTACCTGCTTACTGATCAGAGGGGCGTTAAGTATTAACTCGCCTCCTTATGATGATGGCGGCGGGGTAGCCTAGTGGTTAAAGCGTTCAATTGTCTGTCGTCACGCTGAAGACACGGGTCCGATTCCTCAAATGGGTACAATGTGTGAAGCCCATTTCTGGTATCCCCCGCCGTGATATTGCTGGAATATTGCCAAAAGCGGAGTTCAACTAACTCACTCACTAATCTACTACCAAAACGCAAGTTATACTATAACACTGGAGAAAAAAAACATTGTTCGATTATTAATAACATTACAACGATTATAGTAAATTGATTTGTGTGGAGACATTACAATATAGCTTTTGTGTGTGGAGGCATTAATAACCATATTGTGCGCTATATACAGGGACTGGGAGAAACCCCCGGAGTACACATGCAGTAAGATTGAGAAGAAGGGCAACTGGCACATATGTAACGATAAAACCTTTGAGGTCAAACCACCGTGTCTTGTCTATTCCTTTGGGTAAGTATAAAGAATTAACATGTACATTCCAACTTTCCCTTTTGCGAAACACGAGCAACACAAACCAAGAGTACATGTTTGTATTTGGCGAATCTGGTGTTTTATTTGTATGTTTCGTTTTTTTATGTTTTTATTTTTGTTTTGTATCTGTAATTCTTGGTCCTTATGACACATGCAAATGAATGTCTTGTTAACTTTTCCTTACATGGGCATGCTTATATCTCCATGCTGCCTTGGGGGCTTGGGGCGGTGGGGTACCCTAATTAAAGCGTTCGCTCGCCACGCCGAAGACGCGGGTTCGATTCCCCACATGGGTAAAATGCGTGAAGCCCATTTCTGGTGTCCCCGCAGTGATATTGCTGGTATATTGCTAAAAGCGGCGTAAAACCATACTCACTCACTCACCCATCTAGTGGTTATTTGATATAGATTGTTGGGTGCACCGACACCTGTGAGATGTACACATTAATAACACCGCCTCGTTAATGATCGCCACCGCATGATTAAACCGACAGAAGGCACCCAGAGGACGGATGGGTGGAGTTAGGTTAGCGGTCATGTCATAACAAAAGACGTAAGACAGAAGTTGGTGTTTCCCTGCCTGGGTTTAAGGTGTAAATAAGTACAATTGTGGTGTCTATGTTAAACAGCAGCATAGTATGTGAAATAGCTGCCCCTTCCCCAACCTTCATCCATTCACTCAAGTTCCAGTGTCACGGCTACCCAACCAGATATATATATATATATATATATCTAAACCGTTGCATTGTATTTTCATTGAAGGATTTGGACTGACTGGTCTTTTGATGATGCAATGGGAACCGTAGATTGTGAAGTTCATTCTTTTGATCCGAGGTAAGAATGATAGAATAATAATTACACTCTTCAAAACCAAATGTATTAGACGTATTTGAATGTACATAAGTCGATTAAACTTGAACATAGATGAAGGAAATTCGCCACACTGATGAACATAGGTATTGTTGTCATTGTCAGCATTAATTCATTTCATTCACTGCACATGTGTGGACTCGTTCAGGTCAGGGGGCGTTCAGGTCAGTACCTGGTGACACCACCCCTTGCAGCCGTCACTGCTTGACACCTTCATGGAATGGATTGCACAAATCATCGGGTTTTTGCTCTGGGAATTCTTCGCCATTCCTCCTGCAACGCTTTGGCAAGTTGTGCAAGTGTCTGAGGTGACGTTTACGGACGTGTCTATCAGGCTCGTCCCATAGATGCTCGATCGGGTTCAGATCAGGCGATTTGGAAGGCCAGGGAAGGATGCTCACGTTTGCTTTGGAGAGATAGCATAGGCGGATCCAGAAATTTTCAAAAGGGGGTTCGAATCCCCAAACCCCCATTGGCTCCGCAAATGCAAAGCACTAACTTCAATGTGGTCTTTAGTCATTTTCAAAAGGTGGGGTTCGAAGCCCCTGAGTCATCGCTGAACCAAACGCGTTCCAAGCGCTCCTCAGGTTCCATGCCTGTACCCTGTTGCACCACTGGACACGTCGTTGTCGGTATAGTCGTGTCAGGACAGGTCCAACTTTTTGTCAATATGCTCGAATTCCCACTTCTCTCAGGCGATTTCTGATGGTTTGGTCGGAAATTCTTCGAAGACCCGGCACCTGGCCTGCAGTGTCCGTTGCTGTAGCAAATCAGTGACGTAGTTGAAATACTCGGATGAATCGGCCCTGAGCAGGAGTGGTCACTCTTGGTCTTCCAATTTTGCGACCATCTTGGGTCGAATTGAAACGGGTATATCGATGTCATAATCGTGATATGATGCTGTGGTGAACGTTGAAGTGTCTTGTAACGTCAGACGGGACGTCCCTGCTTTCAAACGTCCAAATATATATATCTCGGTCAGCAAATTCAATCTTGGCATTTTTTATCTTCGTTTTCGTAGTAAATTTCGTAATGAAATTATGAATTTGGTTTTGGCCTTTTATAGTCAATGTGTCTACTCATGTGTCCGATACATTGCACGTGCATTACGTGGAAAACCTTTTCTGCATGCACTTTTCATGTAACATTTTCATTTTTTATGACAAACGTTTACAAACACATTTTGGGATGCGTTTGCGTGCACTATATTCCAACCACGACATGATGACGGGATTCAAACACAGGATTTGTCTTTATGAAGATTGCTGTCAAAATATATCGAAATGAACTGCTGAAAAGGCTTTTTCAAGAGTGTATAAAATAGTATTCAAGGCCATATTTCCACATCGATTTCACTGGGGTCAATGGGTGAATGTTAAAGTGTTCAAACCTAGAAACATTGGAGTGCATTGGAATTTTATTCAACTTAGGATAAAAGTTGTTTGACAAACGATGGCTATTATTGGTTTGTATTACAAGGGGGTATGCACTTTAAATGAAACACCGAGGACAAGTAGGGTTGGTCTAAGTTAACGCTAATCACGTACCGCACGTGCATTTGTTTCACTGTTCCATCTACTGCGCTTACCCCCTTGTAATACAACCCAATAATAGCGATTTGAATCTATGATTTGTTAAACAACTTGTATCCTAAGTTGAACAAAATTCAGAGATTTAAATGTTCATTTGGCAAGGTAAAATACTGAGGATGTGCAATCTTAATTTCACTTAATTTGATTTACTTTTTAGTTTAAAGTGAAATTCATCGGTATGTTTTCACGGCACACAGACTATACTATGCAGAGGTCTTTAAATGACACTCAGTTAGCTAAAATGTCAGTTAGTCTAAGGATCCAAAGTCGATTACCAACAGGCTGTATGTCAGAGCTATTAGTAGCTATGGGTGCTGGCATACGTAATCTTTAGAAGAACACCCGGTGTTCTCGCTCGTTTTTGCTAATCAATTTACTTTTCATAACCATTTCCCCAATATACTCTCTTTAAGAAGATGATCGAGAGGCGTGTTATAGTCACATTTTCAGTTACAAACCATGTCTTACAGTATTGGAAAGACGTCGTTCAACAGAAGCAAGAATGTCCACTTCCATGACCTGGGCCTCTCTGGGAATGACAGCGATACATATGTTCCTACTAAGGACATATACGTCAAAACGACAACAACTTGGAAAATCAGACGCCTCAAGACTATCATGGAGATGCTTGGTCATACAAATGTACGTACACCTTATACAGTGGACTCCCTCTAAACCGACATCGCTCAGGACGGGGAAAAATGTCGGTTTAGAGGATGTCGAGTTAGAGGGAGTTTTTAGAAACTCAGTCCAAACTTAAAGCACACACAGACAAAATGAAACAAACACAGTGAAAGGTATGTTTATATCAATGCCTCTGTACTAACAATATACTCTGTGTAATAACAAATGATATTTTTTTAAATATTAAAATTTAATGATGAACAAGGAAGTCTGGCATGGTAGTTAGGCGGGTGGTCAGAAGTGTTTGCCCAAGAGCAAAGTTCTACACCTGTATCTACAACTGACATTCGCAAACTAATAAGAATATGGAAAGGTCATTACTAGACTAGAGGAGGAGTAACTGCATGTAATTGCTATTAAAATCTAGATTTTGCTCATATTCCTGGGCATTGTGAGGTTGATCTTCCGTAAATGTTTGTTGGTTTGAAAACTGAACCAAAGCCGGGTATGAACGTTTACACGTACTTTCTATTCAGATAACCGGTTTCAGAATAGATTACAGTACCCCGGTGTCAGGGGGTTTCGACGATGTAAGACAAAAACGTATTTTTTATCTGTAATATCATTTATAGTTTATATTTTACTAACCTTGAGTGATAAAAGATATATTCATCTATTTCACACAAAAATATCAAGTGTTCCCTACAAAAATAGCGTTGATGAAATCGTATCGGCGAAACTGTGCCGATCGAAACATCTGGGTATTTTGTATGTGTTTTCGACGATGAGCTATACTTTTTACTCCGCACTGCGAGGGATTGTTGTGATCACGTGGCTTCTATATATATGTTGCCTGTCACCAGCAGACGACTGATCTAACTGAATTTTCGCTTGCTATTTTTTGTTACAAAGGGAACTGATTTTGCATCGTAAGTGGTATTAACGATCTCGGGTAAATACTATTGATGTTTATTTGCTTTATATATAACTTTACTTCCCGATTTTCATTGTCAATAAAACTTCTCACGACAGCGACTGGGCACCCACCCTAACAGTGAAACTGTTTGTGCACTCCGATCGCACACGTACTCTCCCGCGTGCAATGCAATCGTCGAAATCACCAGAACGTAGAATTCAGCTCGTGCTGGGATATATTTAAGACAATAACATAGACACGGGGGCGCATCTGGCATGGAAGACAAAGTGACACATGTCCGAAACGATGAAAATATGGGGTATTGTACAATAGCGCGTCGATCTTCAGACACTTGAACAGAACCATGTTACATCATACTTTCGTGTCAAGTCATCAGACATGGAGAGGAAGGCGTGAGCGTGTGCGTGAGTGCGTGTGGATGCCGTACTGTTTTTGTAAGACAGAATACTGTGTCAGGGTGGTGTGTAAACTATGTCATGTTATTTCAGTGGGTTTGTAGAATAACCCACATGTGTCCGTACTCAGCAGGGTGATCACATACGCACGCATGCTCTCACAGACATCGCTTCAAGTGTATTTTAGTGGCATAAGTTGACGTAAAACCCCATATCACCTCTACTTTCAGGAAGGTGAGCTTCAGCAATCAGTTATACAGAACAATGTATGTGTATGGGCCGTATATATGACAAAGAACAGAAAACAGACATTATAATGTGAATGCCTCTTGCTTACCTAGGGTCATCACATCACATCTACAATTGTCTTCACTAATGTGTCTTTTTCACGCACACGCGAATCGGTTTTGCCGATAATCTAGACTAATCTATTTGCTCTATTAATCAATACTCTGGCGTTGACGTTCTCTATTATACATTATAGAGACACCTTGATGTTCTGAAGATTGACATAGAAACAAGCGAATGGCCGGCGGTGAAGGACATTGCGGCATCTGGACTTTTCTCCAAAGTCAGACAGTTTGGTGTGGAGTGGCATCTCTTTCCGACATATCCTAACAAATCTGAATACTTAGGCTTTTATGCAGGCGTCATGGCCATGAAGAAGCAGGGATTACGGACATTCAGAGCTGATTTCCATAACAGAAACTACGCAGAAAAGACGTTCCGTTTCCAGGCAGATGTTAACTATGTTAATATATTGTATAAAGGCACTTAACACTGTATTGTGTTCGAAAGACACACACGTGTGTGTGTGTGTGTGTGTGTGTGTGTGTGTGTGTTTGAGTAGTATATATACTGAACAGCAAAAGAAAGTCTGGCTTTTTGTCAAGTTTTTGATAGAATACAAACAAAATTATGTCTAATCATTTATTCTATAGAAAACACTGTCAATTTAACAGCTAAAAGTTGCTGTTGACATTGAATTGCAATAAGTTCAAATTGATCACAGTCCGTCAAATGGAGATACCCCTGAACGCGAAAAGTGACAGTATGTTTAGTAGCGCGTATAGACACCTTGAGCTTGCTCACAGGCCGTGCAACGTGGCCTCATTGAGTTCACTAGAGTCTGAAAGAATGCCTTAGGCAAGTGGTTCCGCTAAAACACCAATCTCTATTCCAATTGTGCAAGTGTGAGTGTTCGTCTACCTGCAGCTATCCGCCGTCCAATTTCGTCCCAGAATGTTCAATGGGAGCCATATCCGGGGAAAGAGACGTTAATGTTGTTCTGAGCCAGATAATTCATCTACACCCTTGCTGTGTGAGGGCTGCAAACGTCGCCGGCGTTGTTGACGTGCCAAAATTGGTCCCACATATGGCATTCGGCAGTGGATTCCAGCAGCCCAAAGACGACGCCTAATCGTATCGCTTGGCACTGCTCCCCTTGACCCAAGAACTAAGGCTGTTGTTACTGTTGCTGCTTGAGTTCGGTTCTTTAGATGAGTGACCCGGATGAACCAATCTTGCGCATGAGTTGTCACTCGTTGCCGTCCTGTACGGCGACGATCAGCAGCGACCCGCTTTGCTGATGACATTGAGCAAGTCGTGTAATTGTGGTAAGATGACAACCCAATTGTCTAGCTACAGCGGTTGCAGAGCTACCTCCGTGTAACTTTCCAATGGCCATTCCCCTCTGCTCAGTCGTTAGTCTAGGCATCGTTTGTGTGGCGTGTACACCTCCTAGAGTCAATACTGAACTGTTTTTTGACACAAACCTATATAAAGGATACCTCAGAGTGAAATCCATGCTTTTCATCCATAACCGTCGATGTACGTGCTAAAATTATGGTTTGGTTGCACTGTTGTTGTGTTTGTGTGAATGGTTCGTATGGACGTCAAGTTGCATGACATCATCTCATCTGGAATCATTACGTCACTTTACCATGAACGTTCCATAAACATGAACTCTTACCTTCATGAGATTTCAGTTTTTCGAAACTTGCGTTTCTTTTGCTGTTCAGTATAGAATAGCGGTACGAGATCACTTTGACAAAAAGCCTCTGTAAAGATTTATTACATAAATAAAGCTTTTATCAGGCCCTAATCTCTTTCGCTATTGTACATACCACTTTTGAATCCCCAGCCAAAGTCCAGGTCACTATGACTGCAAACCAACACTTTCCTGGTCACGTGACACTATTGTGTTTACTTCTGGAGCCGTGGCAACATTGTGTCGTGAGATATGATCAATACCTCTGGCTTCTGGTACCTATGACCGCGAGCCAACACTTTCCTGGTCGCTATGTTGATCTCCGGGAAACAATTTAATGTGAATCGCCTAATTTAGTATGATTTCTTTGGTTTTCGTAATGAAGGCTTGTTGGGCCTGTTGTATCCCTTGGTTTATGTCCTTTTTTTCTCGTCTTCATTGATGGCAGTGCTTTTACGAGACTTGGTTCGAATCTCTTGTTTCATTCTGTGATATTTTGCGAGTTCAGAGAGTACCAAACGAAACTCTTCCTCTGAGATTTTACTGTCAGTGAGTGCGGTGGAAATATGATCGCTTATCGTGTTTAACTTTGCTTCGGCTAGAATTCTAATTTCATTGTGTTTCAATGCTTTACGATGTAATCTGCGGGATGCAAACTTAAACACCAACCCTACCAACCCTGACAACCCAGCTGTTATTTCAATGCCCAGCACTATGGGTGCGGCTAAAATAGTGGACAATAACACGACACCTACCGCGCCTAATCCCATGCTAGTTGCCATATATATATATATATTATAAGACATTTTTTAATTGTGTTTCATTTATTTTTTTATCAGTGTACAAGAGGCTGATAATATTTAGATTATCGTACAGGAAAATAGGTGAGAGTTAATAGGTAAATCTGTGTCTACACGAACTCCATAGAGGCTTACTTCGGAGAATATCAAACTCGGTGAGTGAGTCGGCCCCAGTTGTAGGCCGGTACGGCAACGTTGGTCACTGGCCATGAGGTCCCAGTGTATTGTCAACCCAGGTAAAGTTGTCGTTCTGTATCCTCAGGAACGTCTCCTAGATAGACTTCTATGGCGAGTGTGGAGTCATAAGATCCAATTGGGATTCGGGTACGTCAAACCTTAACTCTGAATCAAAGTGTTATAGGGACTAATTCAGGACAGCCATCGTCCATATATTTAAAAAGTAAAAAACTATGTAGTCAAGACATGTGAGACTTTATTGTCATTATTAAAATGACGCTAATCTGTATTCTCTGTAATCCTTATCACTTCCGCATTGTACATTGACTTGTCAGGCAATTAATCACTGTATATGACATTTATAACCTTAACTGGTCTCCCCCTTGGCCGGGTCTGCCATCACATCAACTGGTCAAGGAAGTGCTACTGTTTTTCTATCTGTCCATTGTTGAGTCGTCGCTTGTCCATTGTTGTCAAAAACTGTATATATATCCTTAGTATGCTCACATCTAGACAGTGAAAGAGTACGAGTCCAGTATTCCGACTGTTTGTGTAGGGACGGTCGATCACGAGCAGGATAATGCCCCTCGTAGGAAACGCCCTGGGGTTGAGCAGGTACTCCACTCACCTCTTTTATGTCTTGTGTATTTGTTTGTCATGTAACTAAAGAAGTTTGTGCTCAACGTATTCCTTCGTCTTGTCAACGTAATGTACGTACACTTCATCTTAAACATGAGCTAATTCCCCAGTCGACGTATAACCACGCGTTGACAAAAGTATGAATCTAACATGTTACCCATGTGATTTGGTATTATACGAGTTTCTATCCCAAAATCCGAAATGAAAGACCCGATCAATCTACCATTGTTTCTAATTTCGGTGACACGTCTATGTTCGTTTAAAGAGATGTAAGGTGCGGTGAGGGTCATGTTGATCAACCATTCGGGTTCTTTAAAGTCTGCCAGAGCTTCCCGCTCGTACACGTTGTCTTTTAAACGCAGGACGTACAAAATGCTTTCCCCGCCGGACCGATCGAATCCCTCCGTGCCTCCTAGATCACCGAGTGTGAAGTTGGGGTGACGATTGTTCATTGTTTATATAAAATGTTATAAAATATAGTTTCCATTTGTTTTTCTGATACAGTCTCAGGCGTGCACTTCAACCCCATGAGATGTATGTTGTCGGGTAGGAAAATTTTGGTGAGTGATATCGTGTCTTCCACGGTAATGGTGACTCCCTGCAGACTGGTGTGGGAATCGACGTTCACCCGCACGTAAACAGAGCAAACGAGGTATTGTTGTTGTTTGGTCCACCGGAGTTTGATTCCTTTCACGATTTCGACTTCACGTGATGATGGTTCACCAAGGTAGACTTGGATGACCAGCGTGGAATTATCCGGTAGATTTTCCAGGATGTTGACAACGGCCTCGAGTTCAGACACTATTTGCAACCCCACGTTTTGCTCCCTGGGTTTACTCGATAGCATGTGGGGTGCCATACTCGAGACTGCGCTGATGATAACACTCTGCTACGCGTCGGGATGTAAGCCACGAGCAGGGTTCCGTTGTTCACGACTTCGTTTAGGTAGTGGTCTTTGTTTTCTGTGAACACGTAGGAGAGCCGAGCGTGATGTTGAGAAACCAGTCAGTTCGAGATAGTACCAAACACCATTTGTGTTGTGCTGCTTGTTTCGAGTGACGATCGTGGTCTCGACGTCGTCTAGGTCGAACAGTTTGCCACTGAATGCTTGGTATATCATCCATTTATCCTCATGCTGCGGACTAGGGTGTACCGAGTGTTGCTGTTAGCTCCTGCGGTATCGACGATATCACTTAAGTTACTGTCGGGTCCACCGGCGGGGACTTCAATGCGTTTGTAAGTGTTATTTTTTAGTTGCAAGGCATACAGTTTACCGTCTATTCCTGGGTCGTCAAATCCACGAGTGTCCCCGAGGTCGGAGATCGCTAGGTTGACACATTTTCTTAATCACGTTCCTGGGCCGTGGGCGCCAGTCATTATCGTATGTGCAGCGTTATGCTGAGGTACCCTATATCAATAGGATGTTTTTTTATATCTAAAATACATATTTTTAATTCCGAGATGATACCTTGCGTTAATTTCTTGTACTGCCGTGAAGAAAACGATTCGGTTCTGCCGTCGTTGTACTTTTCCGTTTTCACCGGTACGGTTCTCAACAGTATAAAAGGGCATTCACCTTGAATGTTGTCCATCGTGCTCAGCTGATCGATATGAATGCATAGTTCGCGATGTGGAACGAGATCAGGTAATTTCATGCCGGTTACGGTGGTTTCTGGTGGTATGTCGTTTGACGTAAACCCGAGTGTTTTAGCCAATGGCCGACTGAATCTCAAGTCGTTTTTTCCGTTGTTAGTTAACACAACTGTTCGAGTCGTTCATTTTGAGTTCAGCCCCCATGGGTTCGAAGATTTCTTCGATGAGCGAGCACACGCTGTGGTAGCCATCCGTTATTTGGTTGAGGTGATTGATGACGCAGCCTAGTGTTTTGCCGCTGATGTTGGTCCGTTATCGTAGAGTGTGACTTCGAGTTGACCTGACGTGTTATCTCTGAGTTGAACACCGCTCGTTATTCCTGGAAGTTGTACATATTAAAGTATATAAACTCTGTGATGTTTTGGTCCATAGCGGTAATTAAGGTACGCATAAGTGTATTTTATTGCTTATTCCGTCACAACGCATGAAATGAGTGACTTCGCACAAAAAACACATGACATTCGAGTTGACGCTGAGCGTGCCACGTTATCACCGAAATATCGCCTCAAGCCGGAGAAAGTGCATCAGTTGAACAGATTCACCACTCGTTCAAGATTCCGGGTCCATCACCTGCGTAAGTGTACCAACCGTGACGTACATATTCAAAGATTA